CCTGATGAGCACAGGCTTCTCCCTGCTGCCCTGCTCCTGGGGAACCGGCTGTTGCCCCGTGCTTCTTCCTCTGATAGAGCAGGGTTGGGAGCCTGTGTATAACCATTAACAGTAACTAGTAAGTCCAGGCTTATTGATTAACTGTTTTAAAGAGTTATGCCGTCACATCCCTAATGCTTTTACATCCCAATGCAGTGGTGCCACTGGAGGTGAGGAGATTGCTAGTGCAAAGACTGTGGCAAGACTATTCAACGCTATAGTGAGCCATCGCAGACCTGAAAATGAATGTTCTTACAGTTTGACTGTGGGATTTCATTTTTCCATTTACACTACGAATCCCTCTGTAGTAGGGATGTAAAATCCCGTTTAACTAGTTAACCAGTTAAACGGGGGTGACCAGTTAATTGTAATTGGTTAACCATTCACATCCCTGCAGCTATAACCAGTTAACCATTCACATCCCTAATTTGCAACAGTATCCCCATATGCTAGAGAGACTGGGGGGCGTGGAAATATAATGCAATACCATGCTACTTGTTTGGGGAGTGCGAGGCAAATGCTCACCCATGTCCATCAGAGCAGCTGCTGACGCATTATACTATTTATGCTGGCCATATTATATAGAAGACATTAAATTCTCCAGCTGCCATACTGGGCTCTGTATCCTGTGGCAGGGAGTTCCAAAGGGAAAGGACTTAGAGGGGCATCTGTCTTTCTGTCTCTGGTCCAGAAGAGAGCCATGGAATTCAGTAGCTCATGGTTTAATATGAATGGTTTTAATTTTGCGTCTGAGATTCAGTTAAAAACAGAGGTCCAAAGTGTGGGACACCTAAAATCAAGGAAGCCGTGCTGCATTTTAGAGAAGTGCAAGCTCCCCCTTGCGGCCCATCTAGAAAATACTTCACATCTGTCTTTCTGTCTCTGGTCCAGAAGAGAGCCATGGAATTCAGTAGCTCATGGTTTAATATGAATGGTTTTAATTTTGCGTCTGAGATTCAGTTAAAAACAGAGGTCCAAAGTGTGGGACACCTAAAATCAAGGAAGCCGTGCTGCATTTTAGAGAAGTGCAAGCTCCCCCTTGCGGCCCATCTAGAAAATACTTCACCTGGAA